TCACCATACACTTTGTCTGCCCTGGTTCAACCACAGAGTGCCCATAATCCACCAGATCTGACCAGAATACAAGGCCCTCTCATCATTGGTCCTCACTATCTATATTTACACAGCAAGCAGAGGTAGCAGACAGACACAGACTCCAGGCATTCACAATCAAACTCATGCACACACAGTACATTAACTAACACAAAAAAACAGCACAGTATACGCACAGTCATGCACAGACTTATAAAACAGATCAGTGCAAACCTTTCTGTCACTGTGACTGCAATGAAAAAGCATTAAACAATTCTCTGAACTTCTGCCACATTTTACAAGTGGACTCTGACCCTGCCTTCTCAGAAAAGCCGTACTGCATCTGTCCACACACCTGTCTGTCAAGGTTGACAAGTAATGTTTGTTTATATAGCCTCACCAAATGAATTCCACCATTGAGAGAGGCTTACACAGACAACATGTCTTCTGAAAACAAGCCTAACCCACAATTAAAAAGAAATAAAATTATGTAACACAGTCTCAGAGAAATCAGTCAGAGATCAACCTACCATGCAACTTCAAAGTTTAACTCTTAGGAAAGTCATGATGTAGGTGCTAGATCTGCATATACTTGACAATTACGATTGCTTATTCGTATCAAGTTCAAGGGCTATGCTTAGATGAATAAATCAATCCTAAAGAGATAATTAAATATTTACCGTCATCTCCAAGAGACACTCCATATGTTCTGCATTAGTTTAGGAGGAGGCCAGTTCCAGGAAGCCATTTTACTTAATTAATCACACATATGTGCTTATTAGAGAGACTGCTTAGTTAGTCCTAATGACCATTATTAGCTTAAATAAGTATGTGAAAACACTCAGGAGCTTAAAACATCTAATGCCTCTGTGTTCCTCAGAAAAACAGACTGCATTTCTTTTTTATGAAAAAAGCCCCCCCCAAAAAAAAAACAAAAAACATGACTCTGTCATAACAGATGAATAGAAGGAAAGTTTCTTAGATTAAATATCTCCTAGGGTGTTTAAAAGACTGCAACTATAGCGATTTGCACATTCAAAATAAAAGAAAGAAAGTTGGTTGTAGAACAAGGTGTGATACTAACAGACTAAGGTGCAGGACTCTTACAATGACTATTAACCACACATTTCAGTTCTGATGTGCAGTGACAGCTGAACACATAAGAACCAGACTGACTTGGATTCAAAGAGACACTAAGGCCACTTGGTATTTAATGTACATTCTTCACTTCATCCGCTGATTTACTCCATCTTTTAATTCTCGCACGGTGCAGGTTGTGTCGTTAAATCTGAGAGGCACAGGCCTAAATTACAAGAACAGGTTGATCTTTTGAGACTAGCTCTTAATTCAAGTAGGGGTAAAGGGCTAACACAATGGTGTAACTGCAAAGCACAGAAAGAAAAAAAAAAAACTTTCCGTCTCTGTTCAGCCATCCAAGACTGGGTTCCTTTCATCCAGTTTGGGGACATGATGACCAGAGAAAGAGAGAGAGTCGGCCAACAGAGTCTGCCCACCCCTTTGACAGACTCAGAATACACACTTACTATCGTTTCTCTTTAATTCTGAGCATGTGTGTGTTTGGAAGCATACCCATCTTTACTTTGGGGTTCCCATAAAAATGAGATCAATAAAGCTCAGCAGCCGAATGCCAAGTCAAAGGCCACAGAAGACCACGCTGCAGAATTGTTTTGGTAAGCGATTTTGACTCACAATTACCCAGAAGACCCTCGCAAGGGAACCCGACCCCTCCCTGTACACATATCACCCTATTTTTGCCAACGAACCTGTGACCCCTGAATACTAGACCAACATCATAGCTCAAATGTTTAAGCCTGCAAGTCAGTTCGCCTGCAGAGTCAGGAAGAACAAACAAACACCAAGTGGGATTGCATTAAAAAAAAAGAAAGTGAGGCAAAGTTAGAGACCAAAAAAAAGGTCTCGTTATTTGCTACATGGGTTCCTCAACAATTAGTGGAAGGTCTGATACCAGGATTAAAACAGAAGAAAATGCCCTTGTCCATTACTAGAGTATAACTTCTCCAGTACACTTCTTATCTATGTGCACAAGTATGAGCAAAAAAATTGTGCCAACACACAATATTTTTTGCCTTCTTCTTAGGCATTATTGCAATTATTTTTATCATAATTTTTCATGCTACATCTACAGACAAGAGCACATTTCATCCTTTGAATAATATCACCGGAGTTACTTTCACGGTTGATAAATGCTCAGGAAAGATGTGCTCATTATGGCAACAAACAAGCAGAAAATTGCTCCAACCCACAGCTATGTGAGCCATGTGGGTTTTAGAGTATATTATTCTCACTAAGCAGGATGCCTTCCTCCTCTAGAGGACACGAGGAAAAGACTGTCTGTGCTTTCAAAGATTTTGTCTTTAATCAGCGGATCTGCTGGAATTAAAGGCTGTCTGAGCCAGAGCACCCCTCCCTTTAGCCCCTCCAACCCTGACAATGTGAGAAAGGTGTGTGTGTGTGTGTGTGTCAGGAGGGATCTCCCACCATGGGACCAGAGCTACATCAGCTAACTGTGGGCTCATAAATGCAACCTTTGGCAAGCTGTGCCCAAATGCAGCTTAGCATAATTCAGAAATACCAGACGGCGCGTACCGTGGTAGACAGCTAAACCCGCAAAGCAGCTTTCTCCCGTTCTCATCTCTGCCTGTCCCTCGCCTCCATCTTCAAAAAACACTTCCGCACAAACAGGAACTAAAGCCACGGCCAAACACCCCATTTCCTCAGAATAACAACATGTCAGGCCATCCAAAGCTACTGGGGTTAGTGTTTGTTTGTTATTACAGGACTCATTAAGTGGAACAGGCCACAGCAAACACAAGGGTAGACCCAGGATAAGTGTAATATTTCATTCTCTATAGCTAATAGTGGCAAAACAAAATAAACCCAGCACAATATTTATTATAAATATACATGTATTACAGATACAGTCACCAACTTTTTTATTAAGTACACCTAAAAAGTACTGGACTGGACCTCTTTTTGCCTTCAGAACTACATAAATTCTGCATAAATTCAACAAAGGGCTGGAAACGTTCCTCAGAGATTCTGCCCAATGTTGACACGATTGCATCACACAATTGCTGCAGATTTGCTGGCTGCACATCAATGATGCGAATCTCTTGTTCTAGCACATCCCCCTAGAACTGTGGAAGCCATTAGAGTACAGCGAACTCATTGTCATGTCCAAGAAACCAGTCTGAGATGACTTGACATGGCGTGTTATCCTGCTGGAACCAGCCATCAGAAGATGGGTATACTGTAGTCATAAAGAGATGGACATGGTCAAAAACAATGTTCAGGTAAGCTGTGGTGTTTAAAGGATATTCAGTTGGGACTAAACTGTGCCAAGAATGTATCCCCAACTCTATCACACCACCACCAGCATGAACCATTGATACAAGACAGGATGGATCCATTCTTTCATGTCGTCTATGCTAAATTCGGACCCGGCCATCCAAATGTTGGAACAGAAATGGACACTCATAAAACGAGGCAAACTTTTTCCAATCTTCTATCATCCAATTTGGATGAGCCCGTGTGGTAATTGTAACCACATTTTCCTCCTATTAGCAAACAGTAATGCAAACTTGTCTGCTCTTCTGCTGCTCCACACCTTGGTTATAACAAGTGATTACTTCAGTTGTTCCCTTCCTATCAGCTAAAAGCATTCTGGCAATTCTCCTCTGAGCTCTGAGAGAAGTGCCTCACACTCGATATTCTCTCTTTTTAAGACCATTGTCTTTAAACCTCAGGGATTATTGTGTGGAAAAAAATAAAAAAATAAAAAAATCCCAGTCCATCATAAGTTCCTGAAATACTCAGGCCAGCCTGGGCCTCGATCAAAGTCACTTAAATCACTTTTATTCCCCATTCTAATGCTCAGTCAGTAAATGTTCTTTGTATTTGATGTATTTCAATGTGCAATAGTTTTCAGTCATACTCGTTATATCATTTTGCTCTTAGTAGGCATCTGAAACTATCTGTTCACTTATATTTAGATTAAATTTCTTTCTACCTTGTACTGTGTACATTTTTCTTCTACTGTTTCAAGTTTTTTTAATGGCTGCATCAATTTATTTTATTCCCACTCTATCCCTTTTGCTACCATATACCACATGTAAATTTCCCAACTGTGTGTCTAATAAATCTTATTTAATTTTATCTATATTTCTCCTGTTAACTTTAAGGACCCCCCACCATCCACCATTGCGCATTTCTCCCATAGATTTTTGTTTTCAGGATTCACTGAGTACCATGTATCCATGTCCAAGTCTGACAGCTTCAATATAATATTTTTTTTCTCAATTCACTGCCACCTGCTACACAACAATGACCAGGATATTTATTTAAAAATCAACACAGGCAGACTTAACGGACTTGAAAAGAAAAAGAAAAAAAAAGCCAAAGTGAAAACAAAAATGCTGTGTCACACTGTGTTTTGTTAATAATGGAGAGCATTACTTATTTTCAGTAAATACGTCTTAACTCTCTGAGAAAGCCCACATACAGTATGTGCAGTGTCAATATTTTTATTGGAAGATCTCAGTGTGTGTAAGCCACGAGCCAAAGAAATTTGTTTTCAAATTCTGCAATAAAAAAACTTAAATCTTATGTCTAGCTTTAATGCTAAAGACAAATCTTAATCAACCAGTGATTATCTGTTTAGTTTAAATCTCACCGTAAAAATGATTGGCAGCGTGTTGAAAGGTTAGGACAGCTATATTTTTGTGTATCATTGTGTGACTGACTGTAATCCCTTTGACAAACCATGCAGCGGTCACACTGAGCTTTTTACTAAACCACAGTGTTTGCAATGCTTATGAAGAGGTGAAGAGAGGGAGATGGCTGCAGATCAATACAATAAACACTGGCTCTAGAGGACATATCACAGTCGGGTGCAGCGTAATGCAACACAGTTCCCCATCATAAAACCGTGACTCTCTTACCTGGATGTTTCGCAGAAGCTGAGAGCAACGCTCCCTGACATCTTCAAAGGGACACCGTCTGGAGAGCATAAGGACATGGGCCAGGATGTCATTCAGATCGTTGCCTGGAGGACTCCCTGAAGCCAGGGACAGAGGGGCCACCGGCGGTATGGGCCCAATGGTTTCCACTTTCCGCATGACCTCCTGGCAGATGTTCTCTATCGCATCAGCTCTGGAGCTGGGATCCCGGCTCCCCAGCCTGTCCCATCTCCCCACAGACTCCTGGTCCTGCACCTCCATCAGTTTATGCGGGCCTACCGTTTGTGCTGTCTCACAAAAGGCTACGAATAAACAGGACAGGAAAGGCTTGCATCACCTTTTTGTTAATGCAAGTGCATTATGCTTTTAGATGTAGCATCAGAGAAATTTGACTCCAACTAATAACATGAACCACTTATAAAAGACACAGATATATCACCCTATATCTCATGAATTCATTTGCCATAATTTGGATATTACAGCTAATGGACTTTTGGCTTTTGGCAGGGGGGGAGTAGGGAAAGAGAGAGAGGGTGAGTGACACACAGCATCAAACTGAAGCCACTGTTGTAAGGACTATGGCCCTCGGTTCATGGGTCCCCTGCTCTACCAGGGAAAACAAAAATGTCTCTCTCAGCACCAGGGAAGAGCCATAGAAGTACATCCTCCATACTTCCATTCTTATACCACATTACTGCCCTAAGAAAGGGTGTGAAACTTTATGTCAGTACTGTACCAGTGTGTAATGTAACACTGTGGAGAAGAGATGATGCCACTGTTTATTATGTTTTTGCTGATATCTGTTTCCCTTTTTGACAAGAAAAAAAAATTACATATAAATATTAATTATAAATTATTAATCTCTTTAGCACTTCATCGTTGAACATTTAGCAACTGCAAAGTTGAGTTGGCACAAAACACTGGTCACTAACACCTCTAAATATCACTGCACTTCCTTCCTGTTGTCTTTAAACCCCAGTTTAAGATTAAACATTAAATAAACTTCTCAAAATGGTGCATAAATCAACTACACATCTAAAGCATATCATCACACCATGTATTTCAGCATATAGCCAAATAATTCTCTGAAGATATACTGCTCAGATTTGCAGAAAATCTAATATAATGAGGTTTAACCACATGTTTTAAACAGATTTAAAAAGCAATAGCTGCATCCGTGATTTAAATCCACATGATTCTGCTAATCTTTGTTAGCAACTTTCAAAACAACAAAACAGGATTTGAACACAGTCAGAGCAATTAGATTCACTGCCACAGCATTTGATTTTGCAAATACTAACAATGGTTTACGGTTTAACGGCTTTTAACTTTGATATTAACTTGGCATATCATAGGAAGAATACGCGGCGTGTCAGTGAAATCCATTCAATCTCTCTGCTTGTTTATCTCTCTTTTCTTCGTGCCAGGGCTTTCAAGCTGCCCGTTAACAAAGACGGCACTAAAGCCTCCACCGCCGCTCTTTAAAAAAATTCCCACACACAAACCTTTCACTGAGACTGAAAACCAAACAGTGTCATTCTAAAACACTCACTTTATCCACATTCTTTGGTGTCTCTCTCCTGTTACAGGACGACTTGCCTCCCCACTATCCAGTAACGCTGGTTCCAGCGTAGAAACAAGAGGAGGTAACAACTTCAGGGTAAAAGTTTGATTGGCAGGGCAAATTAGCCAATCAGCCCAAGCCGAACTCATTCGGGGAGGTTCTGGAAGATGATTGGTTGGTGGGCGGTTTCCTGTGCTCGTGGGGGAAGCGTTTATGGGGATTGTATTCTTTATCCGCCTAGGTTCTCTATTTGACTGTAGCGCTTAGCAACTACATCTCCCATCATCCACTTATTCAGCAGCAGCAGCCCCCCTTTCACTTGTTTATCAGAAATAACAGACAAGCAGAAAGACATAAAGAGGTGGATATGTTGTATGTTTCCATTTGATTTTCTTAACTTTAATAAAAATCTGCACACTGATGCAGCCCATACCATTAAAATATCAATCTAAACATAAGAACGAAGTGCCATGCACCTCAGTTCAAGTATGGTAAAACTAAAAAAAAAAAGTGTTTGTTGCGAATCAGAAAAAAATAGTAATGCAGGAGGACTGTCACACATGCTGCTTATTGCTGCAAGAGAGTATTTGCATGTGCAAATGTTGACAGTGTGATTGACTTACAGTGCTAACGACATTGTATTAACTCACCACAACCTGGGGAAACATAAAAAAGTCAACAAGCAGACACAAATCAGTTTATCGTGTACATACTCCAGCCTACTGATTGTGTTGGTATTTTGGAGGCTGTGTGTGGCTATGCAGCGGTCAGTGCAGCATGCATTCCAGCCATACTGACCTGGGGACTTAGATGAAGTGAGTGAAAGGCCACACATTAGATAACTGAAAAGTCCACCTACATCTTACCAGTTGCCTGTTGTGCACCCTTGCAGAGTTAATTGATTAAATACTTTGCATCTAAAAAGAAGTTCAGAATCATTGTATGTGCATACGTGTACACAGAATAGTTCGAAATGGAGAGCATGGTACCTTAACAAAACAATGAAAAGCAACTATCACAATACAACATCATTAAACACTCTAGGGTACCTTATATTAAATGGAAAATGTAGCACCTAGAGCTTGTTCATACTATGTTTGTATGTAAGTATAATATTCCTGTTGTTGTCCTTCCTCTCTGACAACTAACATCTGCATCTTGGATAGGCCCCTAACTGTACATGGGCCCTTTGCATATACCCAGAAACCCCATCAATCCACCCCAGCAGAGAGGTAAAGAAGAGAGGGCAGACAGGGTGAAGTGGGTGGAAACAAGTGTCTGGGGAGATTTGTGACAGAAAGATAGCAGCAAGAGTGAAAGGGAAGGTTTAAAAGATGGTAGAGAGACCTCTTGAATGGCAGAGTTGAAGATGCCAAGATTTTCATTGGGAATACCACAGTCAACGTTCATGGTGTGGTGGTTGGCATGACAGACGATGGTAGAGATAGGATGAGGTGGAGGCAGATAATTTGCTGTGGCAACCCCTAAAGGGAACAGCAAGAAAAATAAGATTTAAAGGATAATTTTATTTTAGTCTATAGAAGGTGAGCCTGTCTAATGCCATACTTATCACCAAAAGGTCACAGTCTTTATTGAGTTTGCTGAAAATACTGGAAACTGTTCCACAAAGAAAATTAAGTGACACGTATATGTGTGTCATAATCGGATTTTTAAAAATTCGAAAATTGTCATATACAGCTCAAAGTAGTTATGCCAGTCTACTGAAACCCAAAAAGAATAACTGAAATAACAGTGGAGTAAATTAGAATGTTGGAGTAAAGAATGAGTATAAGGACAAGCTTAAGTTTCCTTTTACCCTTATAGTATTTAATTAGCAAAAGATATGGAAATATAATATATTTCTTAACCAGCAGAGAAAAGTCTGGTGGGGAGGGAGGAACTAAGAGTGCGCAGGCGGAACCACAGTGTGGAGGGCGGCAAAGAGGAGGGAAATTTAAAAAGCCCGGACTGTCTCTTGGTGACAGGACAGCTGGAGTCAGTTAGCTGGTGTCTTACAAGTCATTTTAACTTATAAAAGTAGCCTCGGATCGTTAAAGACAGACGCATGATTAGTTTGGAAGCACTCATCATTTGCTGTAGGGCAAAATGGAGACGTACCACGATCAGGTAACGTCCGTAAATCAGCCGTTAGCAGCAGGTGTGGCTAACGCGTTAGCGCTGTCTTGTTTACTTTCGCCAAGTTGCCACTTAACCATCTTTTTGGTTTGTTTTACGGGTATCTACCTAAAGGAGCCAATGGTCCATGCAGTGGGTGGTGTTTGTAAATACATTATGTTTGCTGTTGTGGAGCTTTTAGGACTACAAACGGCCTCCTTGCTGCAGAAAGCTAGCTGTACTGGGGTACAGTTGAGTAATCGATTAACGCTTGTTGATTCGGTTACTGTTTACTTTGTGTGGAAAGTGCATGGAAATTGCACCGAAAACAGAAAGTTTTTATCAGTATTTACTGTTTACTAAACAAATATATGGATGAGGAAAAGCGAAAAACCACAGAGACGGTTCATGGTGAAGGGGGAACGGGGTCGTGGGCGCAGCAGCCTAAGCAGATGAGCCCACATCTCCTCATCAGCTCATCTAGGCCTGAGAGCACCGAGACATTCCCAAGGCAGCTGAGAGATGTAATCTCTCTAGCGTGTCCTGGGCTTACCCCAGGGCATCCTTTTAACTTTCAGTAGGACATGCGTGGGAAACTTCTCCCAGAAGGCATTCTGAACCACCTAAGCTGTCTCATTTCGATGTGGATGAGGCTCTATTCTGAGTACCTCCTGATCTTTTGGTCACTATCCAGAGCTCGTGACCATAGGTAAGGGTGGGGATGTAGATTGACTGGTAAATCAATAGCTTTGTTTTTATGTTCAGCTCTCACTTTACCACAATGGACCGGTGATGCAGACACTGCATCAATCAGTCTTAACAAGACCTCAGGATACTTGAACTTCTCCGCTTGGGATAGCAACTCGTCTCTATAATAATCTATAATACTCATTTTTAGAATGAAGTCAAGTCTTAACCTATGATGTTGAAGGCAGTCACCTGTTGTCACTTTCATTTGTAGCAAAGCAATGGTTTATCCTTCCTAATCAAACAGATTACCGTAATTTCCCTGAAGTGTGAAGTGTAACTAACTTTGTGTTATACTATGTTGATCATGTATTCCCTGTTTTTGAGCTGTGCACTTTAGGAATAATGTTGTAATTTAAAATGAAACTATTACCATTAGCACACTGTTGCAAAATTGCAATATTTCTGCAAACTGCACATCCAAACCAGTTTTAGTAAAAAGAAAATTATTTCTCTTTTTTCACAGTGCGGTAATCAGGAGCTGATTTTAGTCTCTGCATTTCAAATTTATTCTCAAGGTTCAAAATTGTTAAAAATCTGACTCGTATACACTTACATTTTTTGTCTATAATTTTACAAACTTGGCATTTTATTGATAATGAAAATATTCATTTGTTTCCAAAACAACCTCCTCTTGTTGTGTATAGATTTTAGACTCACCTTCCAAGAACAGTTACATTGGAAGCTACTACCAGCCACCAGACAGGATAGTGAAACCTTCACGAGAGCCAGAGCCCCATGCACACTCGTCTATCAGCATGGGCACACACATGGCCAGCAGCTCAGTTTCCCAGAGCAGACCAAATATTGATAGCAAAGGTATGACGCATTCATTATCATGAGCTATTTGTCTCTTACAGTGGAAGTTTTTGTTTAGTTTTTTGAGGGGGGAGGGGGCAACTGCTTTCTTTTACAGTTACCTAGTATGTCTTTGTATTGTTGTTTACTCTTCATCAGCCGTGGTTGATGCACTGAAGACCCTTCAGGAGAAAATTAGGCGGCTGGAGCTGGAAAGGACGCAAGCAGAGAAGAGCTACCAGCAGTTTTCCCATGATGCTCAAAAGCATCCACAAGTTACAACATTGTACAGTCAGACAGCAGCCAGCCTGCCTGGGACGGATAACTCTGCCAGGAGAGGTAAGCGACAAAGAATAGAAAGCAACAAGGAAACAGGGTACTGTGGGTCACTATGATCTGGCAACTCCATTTAACTGATTGATTAGTTTGTTCTCTGCTTTATAATGACAGAACTGGACTCAAAACTGCAGTCTGCAGAAGCTCGCTGTAAGGTTCTCGAGAAGCAGCTGGACTACATGAGGAAAATGGTTGAAAATGCCAAAAAGGAGAGGAGCGCTCTAATGGAAAATCAGGTAGCTCAGAATACTACGAATCAAAAAGTCATTTGAAAGTAGATCCCAGCTATAAGCATGATCATCACCTATTTGTTTCTCACATTTCTGGATGTAAGTAACATAAAAAAACCACATCTTCCCCCTGCCACTTTTACTCCCCTCAAGGCTTCTCTGCAGAGCGAGCAAAAGAGCAGCTCAAACAGCCAAATTCAGCGAGAGAAGCTGGAAAAACTCGAGTCAGAGTGTCTCAAACTGAGCAGAACCCAAACTCTGGCAGAGGTAACCTAAGGTTTCCCAATGCTGCTTATCTCTAATTCATTAGTCAGAATGCTTATCGCCAAAAGTTCATTATTTCAGGGTGTGTCGCTGTGATAAATTTTCAGATGAAGCTTTCCATCCTGGAGCAGAAACTGCTGAAAGAAGAGCACGAGCGTAAACTCGTGCAGGAGAAGGCGGAGGAGGTTAGTCAGTTTTTGGATGGCACTTGTTAAGAAACAAGTAAATGCTAACTAGAGACACAACTTTTTTTTAAATTGCCCACGCCACAACTTTCAGCACATATTCAACAATAAAGCTGCTGATTGGCAAATTTGACTAAATACTCTTAAGAAGCATTGATTTGCTGTTACTACTGCAGCTGCAACGAGAGTTTGATGTCAGCCTTCGACCATCTCTGCCAACTTCTGAAGAGACAAAGCCAAAGAAGAAAACAAAAAAGAGCATAAGGGTACTTTTCTGACCGATATAAAAATTAATTTTAGGCATTTATTTAAGGAGATTTCTTTGGATGTAGAGGTGATGAGAGCTGTCTTCTTCCTCAGAAAACCTCTAAACCTGCCGAACTGCTACCAAAGAGCCCGATGCACAAGAAAATGCCCTTTGTTG